GTGTCCAGCAGAGCCTCGCGTCGCTCCCTAATGCCCGGCAGAAACAGCAAATGGCTTTGCTTTACTCAGCATGAAATGGAAGTGAATGGACAGGTCAACTGCAATACAAGAATGTGGTCACAATTTCAACAGGCTGTCAAAAGACATGAAATCAAAAAAAGGTGGCGAGGAAGAACGAAAAGAGCACAGAGAGGAAGAAAGGGAAAGTGGGGAGAAATAAAACCGACTTTATGCATTTTCTCGCAATGTGTGATTTGCATTTTGTGATTTGCAGCCCTTAATGGTTCTTAAAGACTTTAAAAACATTCTCACGCGTAAAGATTCAGATGACAGTAACAGCAATCATGCCGCCCGCCATACAGGGTTTCAGACGCCTCTAAAGACCGCTGACAAAATGCATGGCTGAATGAATAAATAAAAGGCTCTTTTGGGGCCGTCTGTAGCCTCAAGGAGTGAGAGACGGAGGGTGACTAGTCTACACTCCTGCAGCTTATTCTGCCTAAAAACTCTCCATTTACACAGGAAGAGACCATCTGACCAACTTTGACAAGAAAGCATTTTAACCTCAGAAAAAAATATTACATTATTTACTGTATAGGTACCATTCTTTAACAAATGGAAAAAATAAATTGGTTTTCAAGTTTCTAAAACTTAGTGTTTCAGTATTTTTTATTTAAATATATTTTTAACAACAGAAATTATTTTTTCTTTTTCTGTTTTTTTTTTAAATTTTATGCTAATAACAGAAAATGTTCTTGTTTCATGCTTTTTATTTAATTATTTCAACATTTCTTTTTACCAACAGATTTTTTTCTGTTCTTCTGTTTTTTTCTTCTTCATTATTTATTGATTTTCCAGCTATAATACATAGGTTAAACCATCTATATCACGATAACGCATGGGCTTTCAAGTTTCTAAAACTTTAAGTGACGAATGTGAACAAAAGTACAAAGACTGACCTTGACAGGTGATTGACAGTGCCAAATGGTGTGTGTGTGTGTGTGTGTGTGAGCTTTCTGAGCGCTTGGGTGGGATCCAATCACCTCTGTGTAACCTTGTGAGTCCGATCTCTCTGCTGGAGCATAAATCAATGAGCATCTCTGAGCGTGAACACACTGGATCACACGCTCCTCAGCTTCCTCTTCACATGTGCAGCACAGAAAGACACTTCCTGTATCCATTTTAAACCCGTTTATCTGAATTAGTTGACTGCTAACTGCTAACGCAACTGACATCTTTATATTTTAAGTCTGGTTTTATAATTCATATCTGGAGTAATGATGCTGAAAATTCAGCTTTTCAACAGGAATAAATTACATTTTAAAATATATACAAATAGAAAACAGATACTTTCAATTGTAATAATATTTCATAATATTACAGTTTTTACTGTATTTTTAATCAAATACTTAGCCTTGGTGAGCATAAGAGACATCTTTCAAAAACATCAAATCATAACAGAGGACATTTACATATATTTACATTAACAATGCTGCTCTTTTGCCATAGTAACAGCAAATTCTCTCTGATTGGTAAAGCTCTTCACTATTAAATACGATTTTTAGAAGTCTACAGAAGTTTAGACCATCACTTAACAATCTGAGCTCACAGTAGGTCTGCGCAGAAGGGTTTATACATTATCACAAAAAATCTATTTCTCTATGGAGTAAATGCATGGGATTCTGACCTCAGAGCCCCACTGTTGCGCTCTATTTGTATGCAGACACCATCCTGCGTTATAACATTAATATGTAGCAAGCGCTGCTTCATAAATCAAACGCTGCTGATGATAATCCGCTTGTGATTGGGCAGATGTGCTGGTGTAAAGATGAAAGTTTTAAGCATTGTGAGTGTGTATGGGTAGGTTTACTCTCTCTCTCTCTCTGTGTGTGTAATGTGGGTGGACTCGCTCTCTCTGTAATCAATCATTCTTACCTGCCCAGCTGAGCTCAAGCCTCTGTAACTGTGAGAAATCCGACAGCTTAGATTTGTTTATAACCACTGAGTTCTCTCGATTTTTTCACATGATTTCTTTCTCTTTTCTCCTCTTTTTCTTCTATGGTTTAACATTATGTTTTCATCCCTCAACTCACTACACCTCCATTCAGACTAGAGCAAACACACACACACACACACACACAAAGTGTGAATTATAAAATGACTTTTGAAGGGGTTCTACTTTTGTAAAAGATATTTCATAGGTAATTTTCAAGGTGCAATCTGTTCATCTCATGCAGATAAACTTTTTTCCAAAACATTTTTCAGTTTTACTTGTGACTATAAATTGCGTAATGCGATATATTTTATTAATATGTCTGATACTGAACCTAACACATTCTGATTTCTGATGACTCACTCATACAGAAAGCTTTGTTACTTTGTTATTGAATTAATTTGTGTGTTTGAACAAATCATCTGAATGAATGATTTAAATGACTCACTCGTCACTTAATGAATCAGTGTTTTTAAAAACACATTGTTGAGGGAATGATTCATGCACTCGTAAAGAATCCACTTGTTTTTTACAGAATGAATCGGTATTTTTGAACAAATCAGCTGAGTGAATAATTCAAATGACTAATACAGTCATCCACTTGTTTAAATACTCAACGAATCAGTGATTTTAAACAAATCGGTTGAATGAATGATTCAAATGACTCACTCATAAAGACAGTCACTTGTTTCATTACAGAATGAATCAGCATTCTTGAACAAACTGGAGGATTCAAATGACTGATAAAGTCAGCCACGTGTTTAGATCCTGAATGAACCAGTTTTTAATCTAATTAGTTGAATGAATGATTCAAATGCCTCACTCGTAAATTAACTTGTTTCATTTCCAAATGAATCTGTAAATTTGAACGAATACGGAGAGTAAGTGATTCAAATTACTCACTCAGAAAGACATTAATTTATTCGGTGTAATGGTGTGATTTATAAAAAGAGTCACTGTAAAAATCCTCACCATTAACAGACAGACATTATGGGCCAGTTTTACTAACAGCTTGCGCCAGCGCAAACCGTCTTCTGGCGTTAAAATATTACTGTCAGGTTTTACCAAAGACGTGCCGTGAAGAATTAGTGCTGAAAAGGCGTGGACACAGTTATTTTTGCACCTGACCTTATTGAATATGCATTTGTAGGAGTTTCCCTTTCAGATGCAAAATTTATGGGAGGAGAGTATTAAAACGAATCACGCAACAAGATTTACTAATGCTTGCGCTTGTTAAATTACAGGTATTTGCGCCATTATTTAACGCCCAAAAAAAGCATGTCTTAAACTATTTTGCGCTTGAAATGGCTGAAATGATTGTTGCTAGGAGGAGGTACCGCAGAGAACAGAGAGCGTGTGGTAGAAGAGAGAGGATTTTTTTCCACATGTATTCATTTATTTTGAATGCCAGAAGAACACATTATCCATATGACATATAGTTACTATAAAACATAGTTTGCCAATCCATGTTATTTTAAAATTTGCTTCAGGAAATAAAAGACGACTTCAAACCCTCAACTAGGAGTCATGCAATACCAGGTCTATCAAAAAGTCTTGCAAACCTTCATTTTTTTGGCCTCCGGTTCTTTTCAATGTATTGTGGCTTCTTTATTTCTTTATTCCTTATTTGCGACTATGCTAATTTGTGCTGCGCTTGGTATATTGTGTTGGTCGATATGTAAATGAGATGTTGCATCTGTGTTCTTTAATTTGCGCATTGTTAGTAAATCACCTGCAGAAATTTCCACGCCCATCGGTGCTGTTTTGGAATTGCGCTCTCGCACTAATTTGCCCTGTTTAGTAAAACTGGCCCTATGTCTTTTCACAAAGTCCCAGTTCTAACGGACTGTTATATCAGCACTTTTGGGATAACTAAAAGCATGAACCAGTGAATGAACCAGTTTTTTTGAACTAACTGCTTGAAGGAGTGATTCAAATGCCTCACTCATAAAGTAATTTTGAGTGAATCAGGTGAGTAAGTGTCTAACAAAAAGTGAAAGTCCTAGTGCTATCGGACTGTTATATCAGCACTCTTGGAATAACTAAAAGCAAACTTTCTGCATTTTTAGAATAGAAAAATAATAATATTTACTTTATGAATTGTTTCTCCTTGAAAGTCCCAAAGAACAGTTCAGTTGTCAGATTTATCTCATTTCTGGAGGCAATTTCGTCCCCAAAGTATAAACCCACACACTCACACTCGTTTTTCTATCATGGTGGGGATTTTCATTGATTGTTTTTATACTCAGCTAATAATATTTTCTATCCCTGCACCTAAAGCTAACCCATTGCATTTTTATATTTCCTTGAAGACGTTATTTAGTATGTTTATTAAGTCGTTTCCTCATGGGCGCCATTGCTGCTCTGCACAGTGTAGATGATTTCAGGTTTTACTATCCATGAGGGGACATTTGGTCTCAACAATGAAGGCAAAACTTCACCACATACTCAAACTCACACACAAATGTCGTACACATGCCACGACCTGCACAACTACTAATTGTACCTTAGCAGTGTGCAGCATCAGCGGTCTGATGGCCAGCTGGAAACCCTGTCCCGCACCGCTGAGATGATGTGGGTGAGAAATGAAAGCTTGCACATCTCGACTGATGCTGCTTGCGGTGCAAAAACCATCATGTCCCACTCGCGTCTCAGAGCGGTTCACATCGATTTTGGCTGTATGTGAATACCTTAAACGAACTTATAAAATGCCAAATAGGAAAAGGACATCTGAACTGTGCACGACAACAGGCCCAAATCATCATCTAGCGGTATGAATGATCAACTAGTTTGTACGACGACCTCTGGCTGCTAATATATTCCGACTAATGTGTTTATTACCCTCAATTACCGCCATCGCTGTCGGACTGTTCATGCTTTTAACAGACTGGGAGAGCTCAAGAAGACAGGATGGTGATGAAAGATGTTTTCAGTTGTGTTTCTTGTTAGTCCTGCATCTGAAGCATCATTTAGTGTTAAATAGTAAGGGAAGGAGCTGAACTCTTACCTGTAGCAGCCAGTAACAGCGGCGGTGGAAGGTGGGAATGATGGAGGAGTGGACATAGCAGCCATACAAACACTGAAATAAAACATAGAGTACAGTTAAACACTGAGAATAAACACACACACATCAGATCAACAGTGATGAACCACACAAACATGAGTACAGATGAATCAACTACAAAAGCTACACAACCATCAGCACACTCTTAAAAATAAAGGTTCTTAATTGGCACTGATGGATGTAGAAGGAACCTTTAACAGCCATGGAACCTTATAGGATAAAAGCTTCTATTTAGTGGAAAAAGGTTCTTGAGCTTCTTCATACTAAGAAAAAAAAAGTACACTGAACGGTTCTTTGGAGAACCAAAAATGGTTGCATTGTTGTGATTTTGGAACCTTTGTTTTTAAGAGTGTAGAGTTAAAAAGGGACAGTTCACCCAAAAATGTTATTTTTATTTATTTATTTTTTTTTAGATATTTAGTTGAAACCATGGTCCTTGGTGATTTCAAAAATGCTTTGAGAGTGAAAAAAGAATATACAGGAAACAAAAAAATTGATACCCGTGGCTTTTGCTGATATTTTAAGGTCTTATGAAGCGAAACAATCAGTCTGTGCAAGAAATTGAACATTATTTACAACCAGTACCGTCGCAAGGGCTGTGCCAAGTGTGGGACCGCACAGGGCCTCGCTCCTGGCCTGCATTTTATGTCGTTTATGTCTAATTTTTATTACTGTTTTTCCACCCATTTTGTCCTTTGAAAGACTAAAATAGTCATGCTGATAGACAGTGACTCTGTGTATAAGAATTAGTAAAGCTGTTTGTTGTTAGGATGACAAAAAGTTTTAAAAGTTAAACTTTTAGGCTGGTCTGCCTCAGTGGTCCAACAGCGCTCGTCAATGTCAAAATGATCGAGATGGCCAATCAAATCAAAGAAGGCGGGTCTTACTGTCACTGTCACTACTCAACGAGAGTTCGTGGAAAGATGTAAGTAGTACTATATTAGAAAACTGTTTTACGAAAGAAATGTTCAGCAAAAGACAGTAATAGACTATAGATAGTGATGCAAACTACTCAACTTTTTATTAAATTTCGCAAATATGCGATCATGATTCATGTAAATCATAAATGAATGTGACAAGAGACGTTTGCATTTTTGCAAATGATCAGTGAGAGCAGAACGAATGTGTCACACGTTTTAAACTCAACAAAATGGTAAAATACATATATCAAGAGCATGCTCACAGATGAGAACAAAACAGCGTTGGATGAAGTGGATTAGAGCCCTGCACGGGTCTCAAATAGGCCCTAGCCCGTCTTTTTCCCCTTTTCCCCAAAAAAAGCTTATACTACTGTTTCAGCTATTAAAATAGTTCAGTTTTGTATGTAATGGAAAAGTGATTATATTTTGTTTCGTTTTTTCATAAAGTTAATTTAGAAAAATGTTTGGAGCAATTTTGTTCGTTAAATGTAAGTTTTTTTTTTAAAATAACGACCAGCGGCAGACAGTGAATTGATCATAGCCTATATGTTTGATCAATTTAGCCTTCTCAAATCATCACGACTTGCCTAAAATAAAATCTATATACTGTATAAAACAGTTCAAGCATATCACAATGTTAGTTAAATGTTTAACCTAGATAAATGTGCGCTGTTAGATGCTTATCCAATCATTTGTGTGGAGAGTGGAAGCTGAAGCTCGGCAGCACATGGAGGCGCCAGCGCGATCACTTGCAAACGTGGATTAGGAGATGGCAAGTAATTTTTTTCATCACCATAATTGATGGATGTCTAAAATATAAAAATAAGGAAAAGCTTAAAACAGGCCCGATTAAAATTTGTGGTTTATTTTATAATTCCGTACAAAATAAAACACAAATTATAAGATGAACCTAAACTCAGCGAATTGCCTCACAGACATGATAAAAAATATATAGAAAGCTTTAAATTACTAGGCTACTTTAAAACGAAATAATTCAAATCGAAAATAGAAACTCTTTCATTATGTAATCCGGGCATTTCTCTCTAAAGGCACATCCAATTAGGAGATGGCAAGTAATTTTTTTCATCACCATAATTGATGGATGTCCGAAATATAAAAATAAGGAAAAGCTTAAAACAGGCCCGATTAAAATTTGTGGTTTATTTTATAATTCCGTACAAAATAAAACACAAATTATAATGGCATATATGTAAAACTTTGTCCTATAACTGTGTAGCTGCTTATATTTTCTGATTTTTATGTTGCTCTGTTCTGAATACCTTAAAATTTTAAGGATTTGCTGCAACGCAATTTTGTATGATATGTGAATTATTGATATTTTTTATCCATGCAGCAAATGCTTTAAAAAAAACAGCTTTAAAATTACCCTATTGCATTCCAGACGCTTTTAAAGTACTTTTCACTATAAATTTTACGGGTAGCTTGAATGTAAAA